TGGCCAGTGACGTGGGCAAAAGGAATGGTGAGGATTCGGAGCAGGACAGAAGGGGACAGGACGCTGAGGAAAGAACGCTGGGCAGTCCCTGCTTCTCAGGCTCCACCTCCCCTCTCCCAAGTCTCCAGGACTCTGCCCTCAGCCTCTGTTCTTCTCATACCATGCCTTCCTGGGTGGTCCCATCCGAACCCACAGAGTTCATGCCCATGTCTACACCGGCGACTCTCACATCTCCATTCCCAACCCATTCCTTTCTCTTGACCTCTGAATCTATGTCTACATGGGCAACTCTCATATTTCTATTCCCAACCCATTCCTTTCCACTGACCTCTGGGTCTATGTCTACACTGGTGACTCTCATATCTCTATTCCCAACCTATTCCCTTCTCTGGACCTCTGTGTCTACGTCTACACTGATGACTCTCACGTCTCCATTCCCAACCCATTCCTTTCCCTTGGGCTCTGCATCCAAATAGTCAATGCCCACTGGACATCTCTTTGTAGATATTTCTCAGATACTTCCAAGTCCACCGACTTTCCTTCCCTCCCTAAACCCCATCCCTTATTGTCCCTCCCTAGAGGAAGTGGCAGGGCCACAACCCCGTTGTCCAAGCCAGGAACCTAGACATCATCCCAACTCTTTCCTTGCATTCCAGTCCCTCACACAACCAGCCCCAAAGTCCTATGGCATCTTCCTCCTTAATATTTTTCCCACCTGGCTCCTCTGCCCATGACCATTGCTTGCATCCAAGTTGTCATCATGCTTTGCCTAGCTTATGCAACAACATCCTCCTTGTTCCTGCCACTTCCTGAGTGGCCCCTCAGGCCACCCTTTATGCTGCTGTCAGGGTGATCTGACTATAGATGCAGACTGCTGCTTTAATGCCTCCTTGCAGTTTTCAGGGTGAAGTCTGCATTCCTGAACTTAGCACACACCATGGAACGTCCTAATCTGGCCCTCGCTCACTTACTTTTACATCCTGCCTCTCCCCACATACAAATACTTCTGCACATTCTGTTCCCTTTGCCTGGGACACCCTTCCCACTTTCTTCAAAATATTTTTTTATTGTGGTAAAATAGACATAACATAAATTTTACCATTTGAATTCTGTTTTCTTTGTCTAGCACCTTCCTGCTACTTGTCTTTCAAATTTGGCTGAAGTGTGACCTCTTCTGAAAAACCTTTTCCAAATCCTCAGCCTGGGTTAGGTGCCTTTTCCTGTGCCACCAATATAATAGTCTTTATCACTTTGTTCTCTGTATTAGCTTATGCCTCTTTACAGACTCCCTAAGACAGTGCCTGTATCTTATTTAACTTTGCATCCCTGGGGCTGGAGTGTTCAGTTGTACGGTTATGCACTGCACTAGGATGCCTGGCTAAGGAAGTGAGTAGGAGCTTAAGGCCATTAGTCAGTTGTGCACCTGGTAATGGGTTGCACCTAGATCTCTTTCTAATTTGCACCAAGGTGTATATGTGACACCAGTGAGCCCTGTGTATCCCCAGTGCTTGTTACAGAGTTGGCATAAATGGTATTATAATAGGTGCTCATTAAATGGAGAGTTGGGTAGACAGACTGGTGTTCTATGCAATGAGCCCCAGGGGAAGAGGTGGGGGAAAATCTGGTGTACTGGGTGGTACTAGGCGGATTGAATTAGGGGGCCTGGAGACACTTTGTTCCTTATGTTGAGCTGAGGGACTAATTC